ATGGAAAATTCATAGCATTGAGTGCCCACACTAGGAAAACAGAGTGAGCTCAAATAAACAACCTAACGGTGACTCTTAGATTCCTAGAAAAACAAGAGCAATAAAAACCAAGCTCAAACAAGAGAGGAAATTGTACAGTTTAGAGCAGAAATCACTGCAATGGTAACTAAGAAAATGATACAAAAAAAATGAATCCAAGAGTTGGTTTTGTGAAAGAATAAATAAAATTGATAAACACTTAGCTAATCTTATCAAGAAAAGGAAAGAAAAGGCTCAGATTCACACAATTAGGAATGTAAGAGGTGAAGTCACAACAGGACCAACAGAAATCCAGAGGATAATCAATACCTACTTTGAGAACCTGTACTCTAATAAAATGGAAAACACAGAAGAAATGGAAAGATTTCTAGATACTTATGAATTACCAAAATTGAAAAAAGGAGATAAAAACATTTCAAACAGCCCAGTTACAATCAGTGAAATTGACAATATAATTAAAAACTTACCAACAAAGAAAAGCCCAGGTCCTGATAGATTCACTGCTGAATTTTACAAGACATTTAGAGAAGAACTATTACCATTACTCTTCAAAGTTTTCAGTGAAATTGAAAGGGAACTACTTCCAAACGCATTCCTGGAAGCAAGTATCACTTTGATTCCCAAACCAGGGAAAGACACAACACAAAAAGAGAGCTGCAGGCCAATCTCCTTCATGAATATCGATGCAAAAATCCTTAATAAGATACTAGCAAACAGAATACAGAGGATCATCAAGTAGAGCATACATCCTGATCAAGTCGGGTTTATTCCAGGGATGCAAGGATGGTTCAAGATACATAAGCCAATAACTGTAATACACTATATTAACAGAGTCAAGGACAAAAATCATATGATCTCATTCATGATAAAAACCCTGCAAAAAATTGCAATAGATGTTCTATATCTCAATTTAACAAAGGCTACCTATGAAAAACCAACAGCCAACATCATATTAAATGGCCAAAACCTGAAAACCTTCAGTTAAAATCAGGAACAAGACAAGGATGCCCACTATCACCACTCCTCTTTGATATAGTCCTAGCAACAGTAGCCAAAGAAATTAGACAAGAAAAAGAAATAAAAGCAATAAAGATAGGAAAGGAAGAAGTTAAACTGTCATTATTTGCTGATGATATGAAACGCTCCATTGAAGACCCAAAAAACTCTACATAACACTTCTAGACTTAATTGACACTTTTAGCAGAGTAGTTGGATAACAGACTTCTTGTACACAAATAGACTCACTAAGAGAGACATTAGGGAAACAATTCCTTTCACAATAGTATCCAAAAAATGAAGTATCTAGGAATCAATCTAACAAAAGAAGCAAAATACCTCTACACTGAAAACTACAGCACTCTGAAAAAAAGAAATAAAAGAGGATATAAGAAAATGGGAAGATATCCCCTGCTCCTGGGTAGGAAAAATCAACATAGTGAAAATGGCCATACTACCAAAACTGCTATACAGATTCAATACAATACCAATTGAAATTCCAACACTATATTTCACAGAAATAGCCAAAAGAATCCAAAACTTAATTTACAACCATGACAGACATAGACTAGCAAAAGCCATCCTAGGCAATAGACACATGGCAGCATGTATAACAATTCCCAATTTGAAACTATACTACAAAGCCACTGTGATAAAAACAGCATGGTACTAGCAAAGAAACACGCCTGAGGATCAGTGGAATAGACTGGAAGACACAAAAACAACTCCAGATGTACTCAGCTACCTCATCTTTGACAAAGGAGCTGACCTTCCCCACTGGAGTATCGATAGATAGACTCTTTAATAAATGGTGTTGGAAAAACTGGATCTCAACCTGCCACAGATTAAAACTGGACCCTTATCTTTCACCATGCACTAAAGTGAAATCCAAGTAGAATAAAGATCTAAATATTAAAACAGAAACAAACTTGCTGGAAGAAAAGTTAGGCAGAACTCTTGAAGACATAGGCATAGAAAAAGACTTTATGAACAAATCCTGAGTAGCAAGGGAACTAGCAGAAAGAATCAACAACTGGGATCTCATCTTATTAAAAAGCTTCTGCACTGCAAAAGAAACCATCAGCAGAACTAAAAGATGACCTACAATGTGGGAAAAAATTTTTACCAGCTGCTCCTCAGACAAAGGACTACTATCTAGAATATATAAAGAACTCAAAAAATCAGTGCCCCAAATATAAAGACCCATTTCAAAAATGGGCATTTGAAATGAAGAGACATTTTTCAGACAAAGAAGTAAAAGCAGCAAGTAAACATATGAAAAAGTGCTCCATATTACTGGTCATTCGAGAGATGCAGATGAAAGCAACACTGAATTTCCACCTCACCCCACAAAGAATGGCTGCTAGGAAGAAAGCAATCAATAGCAAATGCTGGCTGGGTTGTGGGAAGAAAGGAACCCTTCTCCATGGTTGGTGGGAGTGCAGACTGGTGCAACCATTATGGAAATCAATATGCAGATACCTCAAAGAGCTGAGACTAGGGGTTCCATTTGACCCAGCCATTGCTCTGCTGGGTATCTTTCCAAAAGAATTAAAGGAATCATACCACAGTGATATATGCACACCCATGTTTATAGCAGCACAGTTTGTAATTGTTAAAATTTGGAAACAGCCCATTTGCCCATCAGTTGGAAGCTGTATAAAGATGTGGTTTTTCTATAAAATGGAATACTACTCAGCCATAAAGAATGAGAAATTAGATTCATTCATAGGAAAATGGAAACTTAATGAGGATATACTCCTAAGTGAAATAAATAAGTCACACATGTGTAAATACTGAATAGTTTCTCTGGTGTGAAAAGCTATAATAGTACATAAGATCCTAATGAGATAATTGACCATGTAAAATAGGAAGAAAAGGACTAAAGGTGTAGGGAAAATGGGAATCATAGGGGAAAGGTAAGAAGGGAAAAGAAAAAAATATGAGAAAATGAAAAAGTAGAAACAGAGTGTTTGTAAATGGGGAGGGAAGCAGGGATGAAGGAAGGGCATGGACAAGGGGAAAAAATGAGAACCAAGACCTGTCATTCAGGGTACAAGATCCCAGTAATGAATGTAACTGTACTGTATACCTAAATTGTACCAATAAACTCAATAAAAGGAAAAAAAGTATCCCATATGGAGAATTTCCTCTTTCTCATCCTTCACTGATTTGGCCCTGGACCTGACATAATCTTCTAGCTTTACAGACTCCATATTAACTTAGTTTCTTTGCTTGACATGGAAATCTTGCCCCTGGCTGGGCTGATTATTCGTGACAGTTTGCCTGATTCAATACAAGTTTATGCCTCTGTTGCTGATGATCAAAATGGTATATTTATTTTCACTTTTTAAAGCATGTATTTCAATTCTCTAGAATTTCATAATTTCTTTATCAACCCTTGGTATTATCTGGAGTTCTTTTGCTTTTTGTTTCATTTTGTTTTGTCTCTTGATATAGGATCTTGCTACCATCTCAGGTTGATCTTGAACTCTAGGTTCAAGTGATCCTCCTGCCTCAGCCTTTTGATCTGCTGTGAAAATGAGCATGCTATTACTACTAACTTACCTGATTTTATCAGTATAGCCATAATAGTGGGTATGCATGTTATCCCACTGTGGTTTGTTTTTTTGTGTGTCATTGAGTTTATTGGTACATTTTAGGTATACAGTACAGTTACATTCATCACTGGGATCTTGTACCCTGAATGACAGGTCTTGGTTCTCATTTTTTCCCCTTGTCCCTGCCCTCCCTTCACCCCCTCTTCCCCTCCCCATTTACAAACACTTTATTTCCATTTTTTCATTTTCTCATATTTTTTTCTTTTCCCTTATTACCTTTCCCCTACCCTTCCCACTTTCCCTACACCTTTACCCCTTTTCTTTCTATTTCACATTGTCAATTCCTACTGTGGTTTTGACTTGTATTTCTCAGTGAACAGTGATACTGAATATCATTTTGTGTGCTTATTGGCCATTTGTATATGCTCCATGGAAAAATGTCTATTCAGATCATTTGCCCATTTTAAAGTCAGATTATTCAGTTTAACTTTTTATTTCTTTTCTTTTTTTTTTTCTCACAGTGCTGTGAAACAAACCCAGGGTCTTCTGAAGATTAAACAAGTTTACTGCCACTGAGATACACAGTGTATGGCTTTTATTCCTCTGCAATTAACAGTAGCAACTACTTTCAGTTTCTAAGTGTACAGTTTGGATGATAGATTGTTTGGCAACTTTACCTAGGCAAGGAACATCCAGGATGAGTAGACAAACTTAAGAATAAATACTAAAAACTATGGTGTTTTCATTTTCAAGATTTAGAAGCCTTCAGAACTGCTAAATAAGATGACAACGTATGTATAATTAACTTTCCTTACCAAAGCAGGGCTCTCAGAACATTTCAATTAAAGTTAAGTTCCTGATTCTTTATGTATGCAGTTTCTGATTTAAAATTTGGTTCTATAAAACGGAGTGCTACTCAGCCATAAAGACTGAGAAGCTAGAGTCATTCATAGGAAAATGGATGCATATTGAGGCCATACTCAAGTGAAATAAATAAGACACATGTGTGAATACCCAATAGTTTCTCCGGTGTGAAAAACTAAAAGTGTAAATAAGATCCAAATGGTATAACTGACAATGTAAAATAGGAAGAAAAGGGGAAGTGGGAAGTGTAGGGGAAAGGAAATAAGAGGAAAGAAAAAATATGACAAAGTGAAATAATGGAAACAAAGTTTTTGTAAATAGGGAAGGATAGATGTGGTAAAGGGAGGGCAAGGATATAGGGATATGGGGAAAAAATAAGGACCAAGACCTGTCATGTAAAGGCACAAGGTCCTGATGATGAATGTAACTGTACTGTATACCTAAAATGTACCAATAAACTCAATGAAAAAAAAATCAGTTCAAATTAAACTCAGTGATTATACTTTAATACAAATTCATTCCAAACTGGAGTGTCTTGAAGATGGACTTTTCTTCCTGAGCAAAGCACAAACACATTTACTGTAGCTCCAGTAACCAGCTTTTCCTTGGGGTTCATGCTATTTAGCGTACAGCATAGCAGTAAGCTTTATTCCTACAAAGAAGGAAAAAAAAAGTTCAAAAAATGTAAAGTAATTTATTTTATTTTATTTTCCTAAATGTGCCAAAATCAAAATGCAAATTTTTCTTTGGGAAGAAGGTAGAAGTATTATTTCTTTTCAGCACTAAGGCCTTTAAGACCACAAGCAGAGAGGCAATGATTCAAATAAAACCTGAACACAGTCTTTTATCTATCTGTGCATTTCCATCTTTGAGAAGCCAGCAGAGTCTGGCTGAGTATTTTGAAAACCCAATTATTATTATACCTTGCATGTGGTAGAAACTCACTATTCACCCAGACACACTAGGCTTTTCCTCACAGTACATTTTTGTTTAATGCAAGGCAAGTCTTATGTTTACAATATTTCCCTATCCTGAGCACTTTTAAACAGGACATGAAGCTGCTATTCTAGTGACTGTCTTACTTTTTTTTTGAGAGTCATCAGCCTCTGACAGACCACTAAGAAAAATGAACACTTATCCTGGGATCTTGAGAGTTCGAATTTAATGCTAGTCTGGGAATCAGAAAATCTGATTCTATTTCAGTGAGTTCTAGTCTCGCTGGGTAAATTTGGTAACACCAAGTGGAAAGATGCAAAGCCATTAGCAAGATTAGCACAGGGTGGTGCACTCGGGCTGTGTCCATTGCTGATGTGCTACCTCAGATCTGTTACTTAACCTCTCAGTGCGTCAGTTTCCTCATCTCTAAAATGAGAGTGACAGTAGTCTATATCTCATAAAGTTGTATGGGACATAGAGTTCTTGGGCATAAGGAATGTGGAACAGAGTCTGGCACAAATAGTAAAAGCAAACACTCAGCATCAAATACCCAAAGCTTTCAAGGAAAGCTTTTCTACACTGGCCCTCCTTGTCCCCCACCCTACCTGGTAGACGGGTATCCTTCTTCTCTTGGGCTTTATGTCCCCTGAAATTATACTATTTAGCAATTATATAATATTTTTCCTGTTTTAAAAAGAATGTGACTGAGAGGAACATAGCTTTGGGAGACAGAAACAGAACATTACACTTTGTATTTGGAGTGTTCCCCCAAGGGTTTGAATATTGAAGGCTTTCCCCACAGTGCAACAATGTAGAAAGGTGGAGCTTTTGAGAAGTGATTAGCTTATGAGGGATCCCAGTCAATGGACTGATGATTTGATGAGTTTGTAGCTAATGACATCATTGGAAGGTGATAGAAAGTTTAAGGGGTGGGGCCTAGTCAGAGGAAGTAACCCTCTCCCACTTCCTGGCTGCCATGAGGTGAGCAACTTTGTTCTATCATGTCCTCTCTTCCTTGTTGGTCTGCTTCACCACAGGCCCCGAAACAGAGGAGCCAAGTGAATATATACTCAATCCCCCAATGCCATGAGCCAAAACAAGTCTTTCCTCCTTTAAATTTCTCTTCTCAGGTATTTTGTCACTGTGATGGAAAGGTGACTGACATAGTGACATTCGTAGTAACTATCCAGTGCTTGGCACATGGTAGATGCTGAATAAATATGTTTAAATGCATGAATGAATATGTGACATAAAAGGGCTGGACTGGATAGTTCATTGTTGGTCAGAGTAACCACACCAGGGTAAATCAAGTGGCAGGAATTGTGTCCCAGTGCACTCATTCTAGATACCCACAGACATGGCCACAACTTATAGAAGAGCTATATTCTATATGAAGTTCTTTCTGTAACAGTGACTTGGAGCAACGGATTTTCAAATTTTAAAAAAATCTACCAACACTTCTTCAAATCACCCCCCTTGAGGGATCAAAATCACAGACTAACACATAAAAGCAAACCAGCTCATCCTGAGGTATTCTAAAAGGCAGAACCCTGTGGTTTGACACTCTTTCTCCTCATGAAATTTCACAAGGGAGGCCTCTCTGTGAAATATTTACAAGTCAATGGTCTGAGTAGGGATTTTTATTACTATGCTTAGCCCAGCCAAGAAGTTTTTGAAAAGGACATCTTAGCCACAATGAGTAGGGGTAAGTAAACAGAAAGTCCAGCAGTTGTCATCAGGTCTCCATGGCCACTCTACCTGCCATCCCACTGTTCTTTGTCCCTGCCTCCACAGTTGCCTACTGATCAATAAGGATTTAACCAGAAAAAGGGAGTCAATGGTTTACAAAACATTTGAAACCACTAGCATAGAGAGATAGAACAACAATTGAAAATTGTCATTGGGATACACACAAGGATACCTATGATCTAGGTATATCTTCACATGAGACACTGCATTTAATGGAGAAATCTTGTGGCACATGAAAAGTCTAGGAATCAGAATTTCTGGCTCTTATCATTAGCTTTATCCTGGAATATATGTCTCTTTCTTCCCAGAGGCAGTACAAAGCACATATGAAAAAAAGTAAGAGATAGGAAAGGACTGGTGTTAGTTTGAGTCCCCTAAAATACAGTTAGCCAGATAGGATTTAACCCATTAGAATAGGGGAGAATGCTTACACAGAAAAAAGGAAGGGGGCTGGAAGAGATATGGAAAATCCTGAGACTGGATGCAGGTCTGAGCTGTGGGGAAGAAGGAGAGATAGATAGGAAGAGTCTCAGAGTGCAATTCAGTTCTAAGAAAAGTTTTACCCAGTTGCAGTGAGTTCCTCAGTCACAGTCACTCATTCCAGGAGTCCTGTATCTTGCCAAAATGGGCTGCCTTATCAGTCCAGATATATAGAGTTAGTGGCTGGACACACCCAGTGGAAAAGTGTGGCCCCGATGAGGAGCCAGAGGGGCATGGCTGAATCTTCCGTGGGTTAGACTTCTGCTGCAGTGGTGACTTATATGATTCCTGGTTGCCATAAAATGAGCAGTTTTACTCCATCACATGCTCCCCACTGTGGTGCTGTGTATCTTACCACCAGATCAAAAGCAATTAAACCAATTTTCCATGGACTAAAACCTATAAAATCATGAGCCAAAATAAACCTTTCCTCCTTTAAATTGATTAGCTCAAGTTCTTTGTCACTGACAAAAAACTAACGCATGAGGAGACATTACAAAGTGGGCTCTTCACAAAGTGGGCAATAGGCTTCATGCCGCTTGTCTCAGCTACATCAAGCTATCTCTGGAGTGATTTCTGAGGTTCAACTATCAGCTGAGAAAATAAGTTTCCTAAAGAGAGACTATCAGGGAGCACTCACTTTCCATTTTATCATCAATATTCCCTGTAGCCTTCCATGAAGTTCTCACTTATTTTCTTCCACCTCTAATGATAGGGACAACTGTAGTTCACTGTGTTGAAAAACCAGTGAATATTAATATTAGTAGATAAAAGCACAAATAATTTAAGTGGTACCACTGGAATGATCAAACTTATTATTATTGATTAGCACATTCACTAAAGCTTCATTTATCCAGAAAATCAACCATGTATCATCTAGGAGAAAACTGATGGCTAAACATAATGACAGACAAGTCAGTTTTCATAGAACAGAAAGGTCTCTAGGTAGCCTGATATGGTAAAGAAGAGTAGGTTATAGGGAACTTTCAACAGAGTTCCTGGAAGACCCAAGTGGGCCAATGAAGATACTGAATTTCAGAGATGGGGTGGCTAGTGTGACTAAGAAGGACTTGACAAAGAAAGACAAAGGTTCAGAAGACATATTTTGTGTGTTGCACGGCCTGAAAAAAGGATCTCTCAAGGCTTTTTGAAGGTTAATGAGAAGTACGAGCTCACACATGGAGCAAACTTTGGGTGTCCAGAGCACCCAGGAGTGTTTTCTCTGCTTTGACAAAGGGCAGGAACTCAGGAATCAAAGACCAGGAATGAATTATCCCCTTAAAGGCAGATTCCTAGGTCTCTCTCCAACTTTTTTTTTTTTTTTTTTTTTTTTTTTTTTTTTTTTTTTTGACGGGGTTTGAACTCGGGTCCTTGTGCTTGCAAAGCAGGCCACCGAACTGCTGAGCTAAATCTCCGGCCCTCTCTCCAAATCTTTAGTATTTTCCCGCAAGTCAACATGAGTTGGCAGGAAGATTGAGATGAATTATTCCAAATATAGAATTATTTTTTCCTATCACTCATACGTAGCACATTGTTTTATAAATGAGTCCAGCAAAATTGGAATGGATGCCTCCTGCAGATCTAAGAGAAAAAATAATGAAACTCAAGTACTGTTTAGAATGCAAAAGGAAATTCTGTGGAATGTCAGGTTTTCTGTGGGAGTATCTTTGCTGCATGAAACAAATGGTCAGATGAGGATAGACAAATTAAATCAGTTATTCATTTTAGTCAAGCTCTATATTGCCTGTTTTGCCTATTGCTTCATTGGGGATTTTTGTTCACCAAGGTGTGAATGCCATAGTACACTGATAGCTCTGCAGTGAGATTACAATATTTCTCAAGTCTCTTTACATTAGCCCTTCCAGGATACCCACCTAAAACAGCACCACTTGAGCAATATCCAGTAAATATACATTGAAAAGTATTAGTTTATTGCCTTTGGTCTGAACTAAAATATTTGCTGTATACACACCACTGAAAGAAGTACTAGTACAGAGCTTTTGCCCTTTTTGAATGATAGCCCATATAACACAACACACACACACGCACACACACTCACACACGTATGCACAACCTCATAACATAATACCTTTACTACATGTAACACACTCTAATGTTTTCTGCTTTTTTTAAATGCTAGTCTTGGCTGTAAAATTGATCTCTTCATCCAATGTGTCGTGACCTACTATTTGAGACACAATGTTCCAAGAGGCTGTAAATTAAATATCTGAGTTAGGGTTTATGTTTTAACATTGATTTTTTTTTCCATGAGGCATGACTCTGCAAACACTTTCCGAACATTCAGTAGTTATCTCTGCTACAAAAAAAAAAAAGGAAGTATACAAGCAATCAAGGTCCATTCAGTCTATTTAGTTAAAGAAGCCAACACAATAATTTAAAAAAGGAGAGAAGTGGTTCCTGCTTGATTATACTGTTCAAATCTCAAAATAGTTAATGTTAAAATTTATGTTAGGACATCGCTGACTG